TTTGGCAATCAAATCTGAAATATTTGTACTAAATAAGATATTTCACTCAAATTTCAGATGTTGGCACTTTTTTTCAATCAAATATTACAATTTAAAAAGAAAAAAATCATCATATTAATTTTGAAATTCTCTAATTATGAAACTATGTGAAGTATATTAGTATTGTATAAATCCTGAAACTATGACTAGCTATATTATTTGAAGCTATCAATAGTGGTCCTATCTAAAATTAGGAAGAGCTAGAAATTAGTCCTGTTAGTTAAGTCTAACTTGAATCAATTATATGTTTAACACTTAAACTTATTTGACAATTTTTTTTTATCAAGATAAATAAATAATTAATTCAAGCAAATGTGCTACTCTTACCTTGGATTCTAATGTCCATCCTCCAACCTGATTATATAACTTGTCGAGTTATTAGACGTTTTTAGAAAAACATAATTTAATGCATGAATCATCTCATTTCGTATTCTTTGAAAGAGTCACAATCAAATAGTGTAATATAAACAACTTATTCTAACATTAGTGGATGATTTCACTGTTTGAATTCATGATTTATAAACCATACAATAATTTTATCGTTTTGACTAATTATATTAATTTATTAAGAAAGTTGTACAGTATCTGCCTTAAATAGATTCTTTGACAAATCACATATTTTGCCAGTTGTCTTTAGTACTGGCTGCTTTTAGAGTTGGGCAGCCTTCTAAGACAAGAAATTTATTGAGCTAATTATGATTTTTTGATGGTGGAACTTCACATAAATGAATTACTATTAAAGGTCAAACTTAAATTTCCAAAGAACACATAATAAGGATAATTTAGTACATATGCATGCATATTACTCTCTCCGTTTTAGTTCTTTTCACGTCCATTAAAAAAGAGATAAGGAGTATAATATATTAAAATATCCCTAGTTAATAAAAGTAGACTGATTTTTCCACTTAAATATTGTGCATACTTCTTTAATATTAATGTAATAATTAGAAAAAAAAATGTAAACTGTAAACTTGCTTTCCTAAAGCGACAATAGTTTTAAAATAATTTTTTGAGCTAAAACGACATCTAAAATAGAACGGAGAGGGAGTATAAGCAATCATTTAAGCAACCTCAGCAATCAGCATGTAACGATTCCCAGAAAGTTGGACCAGATAAGCAAATCTTGAACATTAAAAACAGACTATCCAACTTGGAAAAAATCTTACCAATACCAATAAAAAGATGACACCTGTTTTTTATATACACTTTTATTATTTAATAACGATAAATTAACATGGGCGACCCAATAAGAGTTGGGCAGCCTTCTAAGACAAGAAATTTATTGAGCTAATTATGATTTTTTGATGGTGGAACTTCACATAAATGAATTACTATTAAAGGTCAAACTTAAATTTCCAAAGAACACATAATAAGGATAATTTAGTACATATGCATGCATATTACTCTCTCCGTTTTAGTTCTTTTCACGTCCATTAAAAAAGAGATAAGGAGTATAATATATTAAAATATCCCTAGTTAATAAAAGTAGACTGATTTTTCCACTTAAATATTGTGCATACTTCTTTAATATTAATGTAATAATTAGAAAAAAAAATGTAAACTGTAAACTTGCTTTCCTAAAGCGACAATAGTTTTAAAATAATTTTTTGAGCTAAAACGACATCTAAAATAGAACGGAGAGGGAGTATAAGCAATCATTTAAGCAACCTCAGCAATCAGCATGTAACGATTCCCAGAAAGTTGGACCAGATAAGCAAATCTTGAACATTAAAAACAGACTATCCAACTTGGAAAAAATCTTACCAATACCAATAAAAAGATGACACCTGTTTTTTATATACACTTTTATTATTTAATAACGATAAATTAACATGGGCGACCCAATAAGAGTTGGGCAGCCTTCTAAGACAAGAAATTTATTGAGCTAATTATGATTTTTTGATGGTGGAACTTCACATAAATGAATTACTATTAAAGGTCAAACTTAAATTTCCAAAGAACACATAATAAGGATAATTTAGTACATATGCATGCATATTACTCTCTCCGTTTTAGTTCTTTTCACGTCCATTAAAAAAGAGATAAGGAGTATAATATATTAAAATATCCCTAGTTAATAAAAGTAGACTGATTTTTCCACTTAAATATTGTGCATACTTCTTTAATATTAATGTAATAATTAGAAAAAAAAATGTAAACTGTAAACTTGCTTTCCTAAAGCGACAATAGTTTTAAAATAATTTTTTGAGCTAAAACGACATCTAAAATAGAACGGAGAGGGAGTATAAGCAATCATTTAAGCAACCTCAGCAATCAGCATGTAACGATTCCCAGAAAGTTGGACCAGATAAGCAAATCTTGAACATTAAAAACAGACTATCCAACTTGGAAAAAATCTTACCAATACCAATAAAAAGATGACACCTGTTTTTTATATACACTTTTATTATTTAATAACGATAAATTAACATGGGCGACCCAATAAGAGTTGGGCAGCCTTCTAAGACAAGAAATTTATTGAGCTAATTATGATTTTTTGATGGTGGAACTTCACATAAATGAATTACTATTAAAGGTCAAACTTAAATTTCCAAAGAACACATAATAAGGATAATTTAGTACATATGCATGCATATTACTCTCTCCGTTTTAGTTCTTTTCACGTCCATTAAAAAAGAGATAAGGAGTATAATATATTAAAATATCCCTAGTTAATAAAAGTAGACTGATTTTTCCACTTAAATATTGTGCATACTTCTTTAATATTAATGTAATAATTAGAAAAAAAAATGTAAACTGTAAACTTGCTTTCCTAAAGCGACAATAGTTTTAAAATAATTTTTTGAGCTAAAACGACATCTAAAATAGAACGGAGAGGGAGTATAAGCAATCATTTAAGCAACCTCAGCAATCAGCATGTAACGATTCCCAGAAAGTTGGACCAGATAAGCAAATCTTGAACATTAAAAACAGACTATCCAACTTGGAAAAAATCTTACCAATACCAATAAAAAGATGACACCTGTTTTTTATATACACTTTTATTATTTAATAACGATAAATTAACATGGGCGACCCAATAAGAGTTGGGCAGCCTTCTAAGACAAGAAATTTATTGAGCTAATTATGATTTTTTGATGGTGGAACTTCACATAAATGAATTACTATTAAAGGTCAAACTTAAATTTCCAAAGAACACATAATAAGGATAATTTAGTACATATGCATGCATATTACTCTCTCCGTTTTAGTTCTTTTCACGTCCATTAAAAAAGAGATAAGGAGTATAATATATTAAAATATCCCTAGTTAATAAAAGTAGACTGATTTTTCCACTTAAATATTGTGCATACTTCTTTAATATTAATGTAATAATTAGAAAAAAAAATGTAAACTGTAAACTTGCTTTCCTAAAGCGACAATAGTTTTAAAATAATTTTTTGAGCTAAAACGACATCTAAAATAGAACGGAGAGGGAGTATAAGCAATCATTTAAGCAACCTCAGCAATCAGCATGTAACGATTCCCAGAAAGTTGGACCAGATAAGCAAATCTTGAACATTAAAAACAGACTATCCAACTTGGAAAAAATCTTACCAATACCAATAAAAAGATGACACCTGTTTTTTATATACACTTTTATTATTTAATAACGATAAATTAACATGGGCGACCCAATAAGAGTTGGGCAGCCTTCTAAGACAAGAAATTTATTGAGCTAATTATGATTTTTTGATGGTGGAACTTCACATAAATGAATTACTATTAAAGGTCAAACTTAAATTTCCAAAGAACACATAATAAGGATAATTTAGTACATATGCATGCATATTACTCTCTCCGTTTTAGTTCTTTTCACGTCCATTAAAAAAGAGATAAGGAGTATAATATATTAAAATATCCCTAGTTAATAAAAGTAGACTGATTTTTCCACTTAAATATTGTGCATACTTCTTTAATATTAATGTAATAATTAGAAAAAAAAAATGTAAACTGTAAACTTGCTTTCCTAAAGCGACAATAGTTTTAAAATAATTTTTTGAGCTAAAACGACATCTAAAATAGAACGGAGAGGGAGTATAAGCAATCATTTAAGCAACCTCAGCAATCAGCATGTAACGATTCCCAGAAAGTTGGACCAGATAAGCAAATCTTGAACATTAAAAACAGACTATCCAACTTGGAAAAAATCTTACCAATACCAATAAAAAGATGACACCTGTTTTTTATATACACTTTTATTATTTAATAACGATAAATTAACATGGGCGACCCAATAAGATACGTGACCGAATAGGCAAGTCATTGACCAACTCTTTGGAACATGAAGTCTCAAGAACTTTCAAAAGAGAAGGTTGACGACAACAACATAGTCAATGTATTTCCACAAATGGGGCTCATAAAATATAAAGTGTACGTAGACCTTACCCCTTAGAGAAACTTTTTGCGGAAGAAACTCAGAAGGTTGACACAAATTAAAATTCCAATAAAGAATGAAGATATATGCTGTAAGTTTCGTATAGCCTTAATGGCGATTCCAAAATGTACAAAAATATTACCAGTAAATTACCAAAATAAAAAATATATACATGTGGAAAAACACTTAAATGGCTAGGCCTGAACTCATCCATGCCGCATGAAGCATCAAAACTGACTGCCAAGCCAAGCAATTTGAATTTCACAAAGACGAAACTGTTGGTCGATATAGGTATACAACAACCTAAGTTGCGCGGACTCTTCACTTATGTTGCCGCAGCCGTGTCAGATTCTTCAAAAGTACACTACTTTTGGAGAATCCAGCACGCACACTACACATTTTTGAAGAGTCTGAGCAATATAGTATAAAATCTCTTTACCTAAATTTCAAGCTGTTGGAGTTTTCCTGCATACAACAGAAAGTAATAGCATCAGGTTCCTTCCAGTTTGAGAGTTTAGAAGCTGCACACAAATAACATCTAGCAAATGATCAGCTTCTAACATTTTGGAATTTAGTTGAGTACCTGTTCATTGTGCGAGCGGTTCAGAGGGTAATCAGAAAGTGAGTTTCTCCTGTCATAGAAAAATTAAAATAAGTACACAGTGGCGAAGAACCTATGCCATCAACCGGTTGAAATCAATACTCTGCACAAAGTTTAACAAAAAGACTAGACAAAGAGCTATTTTCATTCTTCTGCACAGATACTATGCAGTATACACTATTAAACAACCATCTCCTTTATAGATCAACAAATTCTTCCCAGGATTGCACTCCCGAGGCTATAGTGAACAGATTAGACTGAGATACTCGTGTTTCTGGCAGGAAAAACAATGCAAGCAAATAATGAACATAATGAGTTGACATGTCAGGGTATAGTCTCCTCGTACATTTTTGTCACTGGTTATATAAGATACCACCACTGTTACGTCATCCAACTTCCCACCATAGAAACGGATGCCAGCATCTTGGGCTGCAGTGGAGAAAGGGGATTGCCTGTTTTTGTCGAGTGCTCTTTCCCGAGCCAATGCAGCTATCTTCTGAGCTACAACCTGAGGTGGTAAGTGAGCTCTCCTAGCATGCACCACTACTGCAGTTATATCACTGGTATACAAATTGTCAAACAATCCATCAGTTCCAGCAATGATGACATCTCCCGGAGCAACAGGTATTTTAAACACCTGCACCAGAAGTCAACCATTCAGTTTTATAGAGAATTAGACTACAGATCGACTGAATGGGAGAAAGAAAAATTCGAGCGACAGTCATGAGTCAACACCCCACATTTATAGTTGACAGAATATTAAACTAGGTATAAACACATAACAGTATTAGGTCAGATTGCAAAAGAATGTCAGTCAGATCATCCAAAATTTAGGTCATCTAAGAGCACGTTAGTTCCTCCAAGAAACAAAGGAGAGAGTGAGAAAGGTATTAACATAAGTTGATTAAAAAGAATGAAAATGTTCCAGTGTGTGAAAGCACCTCTCCAGATTCGGCTCAATGAAGAAAATGAATAATTTTGTTTTTGATAGTGTGATGAGAAAAATGAATGATGAATAAAGATTGAGATACAAAACAGGTTTTTTCAACAAATATTTGATGATCACTATTTATCATAATCCAATCCCCAGTTCACGATTTTTACTTTTCTTATCACTGTAAAAATTCTTTAATTGTACGATTTAGATATTTCGCATTTCTTGAAAATGTGATTTGATTGATTGTGATTTGTCTCAATAACCATTTGTCCGAGTTGTAACTTGTCTACTCAGACACTTTATGAAAGCAAGAACTGACCTCCCCGGAAGTTGGTGAATCACCGCCAGTACCACCACTCTCCAGTTGATATGTAAAATTGAAATCATGCTGCTGAACAGGGGATTTTAAAACAGTACATCCATCTCTAATCACCATAAATCCGCTATCTCCTAAGTTAATGGCATGGAGACCCTGAGAAGATAGGAAAATGATAAATTTAACATTCATAAAGATATAAACTTCTAAATAGCTCAACATCTTTTTAATTTCTTTGCCATTTTACTCACAAAACTACTTCTCCACACCTGGTTCTGGCTGTAAACAATGGCTAATAGGTCCAAAAGTCTTTTGTCTAAAAGAAACTTCATTGTTACTGGACATCTCAGCATCTAACTGAACCAACTAAAAAGCGTTTAGTCTTATATCTGAACTCCATCAAGCTACTCTCGTGTCCCAGAAAGGCAGTGTCACTTTTATCTTTGGGCTGTCCGAAAGTAGTAACCACATTCCTTAAAAGGAAGGTTTCATTCATGTACAGAGCTCAAAAAGTTATGATGGATGGACCCATGTGTTTCCTCAATAAACTTTTTCTTGCTTCTATTTCAGAAACCACAATATGTTCCCCTAACAAATAAGTGCTAGATAACTCCAATCCACAACCATTCTCTTAATAACAGTCTGGTGCTGAAGCACAAGCACTAAATATTAAATTGGGAAATCGTTTCTCTCTTAATGCATCAAGAATGGTAGATATAGAATTACTTATATACCTGATCTGTAAGGGCAATAATGCAGGCAGTTGAGGACCCTTTGGCTCTTGTGAGTGTATAAGCTTTCTCCAGGACCCTGGCTGGATCTACTGAACCTTTTGGTTCCTCACGAATTGCCATTACTGCATTTGCCATCAGTTCTCGAGAATATTCTCCAGCATCAACACCAACATCAGCCCATCCACCAACACCATCAGCTATGCCAATTACTTGTTCATCAATGCAAATAAAATGAGCATCCTCTCCACCTTTTTCTTCTTTATCAGGGTGAGGCAGGTAAGACGACCCTGAATTAAGCTTCAGGCTTCTGTCAATATGGATTTTCCTGAAATGTGATAGTAGAACTCAATTACTAAGTACAAACTATTAGAACTCCAAAGCTGACACCTCAATAATATGCTCTCATTTAGTGATAGTTCTGTGGTGCTACATATAAATTGGCAGTACGCGAAGCAACAAATTAGAGACATCTACACACTCAGCAATGGAAGTAATAGAGGTAGAAATAAGCTTAAGAAAAGGCAACGAGATGTGAAGGATTCTAGTATCTGTCCAGTAAAAAAAAGTCAACTTGAGAAACTTCAGGATGAAACCTTTAACCCCACCTGAACTCGGGTAATGACTTGCCAATTGAATCAGGTTACAAACGGTTAGGCCCATATCGGTACCTTCAGAAACTTGTCTTAAATGAATAACTATAGCAAAGTTGAGAGACCTACTGTTCAGAAGAATTTGCTGAACTTGCACGTTGGACCTCATGGAGAGAGTTATCAAAGGACACATCAGGAGCAGCACCAGCAGAGATACATGCAGCTGAAGAACTGTGAAAACCCTTGAACCCAAATGCATGAGGAATAGCACTGATCACAGAAATATTCTTTCTTTGATTAACTATATTCAAATTTGTCTGTGCTGCAGCAAAAGCTTCAGGCCTTACAAACACATGCAGGTCAGACAATCTTGCAGATGACACAGAACAGAAGGACTTCCCGAACAACAACCGCTCTTCAGAAAAAATCTCCACCAATTGAAGCCCACTTTCTTGCCCAGAAATGGATTTCCGGATTCCCTGCCTCAATGCACCACTTACTCTAAAAAGATAATTACTAGGCATATTGGTTTATCAACTACAACAAATTTGCTCACACTCGTTTATAAGAGAAACACAACCAGTACCACAGAACACGGGAAATATCAGTACTCCCCAGAACGTTTGTTAATACGCATCAATTTGGTCTTCACTTGAAGACAACATAACCACCTGAAGAACAGGGTAACCAATATTAGGAGGAAAAAGTCACAAAAATATAGTAGAGGATATAGGTAGGACATTGTTATATCCACCATATTTCATGTCAAACAATGGTTGCTTATAGTACCAACTAATAAGCAAAAAACTCAAGAATTCTCTAGTAAACACTAAGTATGAGCACATCTATCTCGGCCTTGATGGGTAGGTTTACCCAAAACCCATGCTTGTGAACCATCCCGGCTCAAGACCATAATTACTAAAAAAATAATTTCAAACAAAACCACATGAAAAAACTAGTCCATTATTTGCACCAAAAAGACATATAGTTGACTAGAAGCCTAGAACCCATAAAAGTGGAAAAATAAAATAAATGCCTAAGCTTGTCACTCAATCACCCATCTTCATTGAAAAGCAAATAAACACATTACAACAACAACATACTCAATGTAGTCCCACAAAGTGAGGTCTAGTAAGGGCAGAGTGTACACACACCTGACCTCTACCTAAGAGAACGGTTGTTTCCAATAGATCCTCGCCTCAAAATAAAAACAGTACAAAAATAACGGAACAGATAGTAGCAGAGCAATACTACAACAAAATAATACTATAATCAACTACATGAAACAACATATAATAACAGAAATCAAACAAATAAACACAATACCTTAAAAAAAATCAAAGCACAGAATATGATACCTCAGATCAAAGCTCCAAACAGACTAAAGGAAAGATAATTTTTTTCATCTCATAAATCTCCACAATTTTCCGTTACATGAAACATAGCTGTAACGTCCCTATTTATAATTGTAGGAAATCTAGTTTGACTAAAAAAAAGACTAGAAATATCATTTCCTACAGGAATCTGATTACAAATTCCATTTAAACAATTTAGGTCTCTTAAACAATAAAGGGGTTTCACAATAGAACATTTTCAGTGATTCGAGCTTATCAAGAATCACAAGAACTCAAAACACCAAATATAAACCTTTAATTACAAACATTCAGAAAAATAGAAAATCTGTTCCTATTTGAATATCAAATCCCATATTTCTAATTCTAAACAGTTAAGATTTCTTATTCGAACTTTGAACAAACATTCTATAACACAAACACCCAAAAACAAAAGAAAACAATAAAAGGGGTTTCAAGATTGCACCTTTTCAATCCAAATCACCCAAAAAAATTGGAAGCCACAATACTACAAAAGAAAACAATAAAACGGGTTTCAAGAATGCACCTTTACAATCCAAAAAATGAAAAAAAAAAAAAAAAACCAAAATATTCCAATCTTCTTCAAATAAGTTCTGTTGAGTTAGAGCTCAAATGTTCAACTCAAAAAGCTTTTCATTTCACCAACAAAACCCTATATATACCCAATGGTAAACTTCTGACTTTGTCTACCAAATTTGAAAAAGTTGAGAAAATTTGGAAATCCTTTTATATTTGTGGTGTCATTTATAATAACCATTGATTATGAAAATAATATGGCAAGATAAAAGGAAATGTAAATATGACGATTTCAGTCCTCGCATATTTCTCGAATCTGTTAATTGATGCTCAACCAATCGTTGATTGTGGAGGGTATTTTGGTCATTTCCATACGAATACAAAAATGAAGATCTTATGTTAATATTTTAAATTGGAAACCGACTATGATTGTTTGATTCCTCCAATACGGAAACGTACTGCCACCATAGCTCATTCCTAATCTCGTTAGGTAAATTAATTTTAATTACAAATTTATTAAATTTATAATAATTTTAATTAATTAATTTTGTAACAATAGTAATTGATAAATAGTCGTTAAAAATATTTTTTTAAAAGTTATTATAATGGTGATTGAATAAAATATCTTGTGAAATTTTCACATAAATCTATTTGAAATAGACTACTTTGAAAAAAAAGTCTATTATCTACAAAATATATTTGGAACAAGACTATTTCGTAGCAAAGAAGCTTATTTTCAACTTGGATTAATTTTACTTGTCCACCTAGCTACCTCCCAACTAGAAGAAATGTTACAAATATATTTTATATTTTATTTTTTGGAGTATTTCATTTCATTTTTTTTATTATTTGACTTTGGAGATATTTATTATGCACTTTCGAATTTGAGGCACTTGAAGAATCTTTGCAAATATATATAGACACATTAGCTTTGTCGATGATCAAAGAGAGATATCCTATTAATAATGATATTTCTCTACTTAAAACAAATCTCAGTAATATTCTAATCATCGTTGTGTGGTTATATCTTCCATATTCTTTGTTAATCGATGGAAAAAAGAATTTCACGTAAAGTAGGGAAAAGTTATTAATAAATGATAAATCAAACCTAACTTTGAATCATGCTCACATGGGTGGGGTTTTTATGTTTGGTAGTTCAAATTTTCAAGTTTGTAACAACTACCGATTGATGTCCCAATCTTGCGTGTGAAATACTTAGTGCACCGAGCTATTTTTTTTTTCCTTTCCGAGCAGCTAGCCAGCTATTGATTAATGCCAAACCTTAGGGGAGTAACAAAGTTCTGGTGGTTCAATCAAGAATAAATTCCGTTATAGGCCGACAGACGGACAATGCAAAAACTATAAAATAAAATAAAATTCAATGTCAAGGACTAATTCCACGGGATACATGTCGCCTCCGAGTGGCGGAGCCACATGTAGTTGAGGGGTGTCGACCGACACCCCTTCGTCGGAAAATTACACTATATAGCTAGAGTAAAAATATTTTTTTATGTATATATTACAATATTGACACTCCTCGACCTCTAAGCAATTTTACTTCTTTATATTTTGATACCCCTTAGTCAATGTTCTGGCTCCGCCACTGTCGCCTCCCACGCAAAAACTTTGGGACAGCATATGCATTTACTTGTTAGAGAAACATGAATATGTAAAAACAGTATTGAAATTATGGGACATGAATACAGCAGAATGAATGATTCAGATAATCGATCCAACTCGTTTATAATTGAAGCTTTGATCGATGATCTATATATCGTCGATGGACAAACTGATCACATGGTGAAGAGTAGTACATTTAAACTTAAATCTTCCTAAAGAGGATAGGAGCACCATACTGGGGCTGTAAAGTAAGGCGTGTAGTTGGAGCATGAACATATGAAGGTGACAATGCAAGAGAGAAATTTTTAACTATCATTGCCAGGATGATTTTGGCTTCAACCATGGCTAAGTTTTGCCCAACACAGACTCTTGGACCTAATGCAAAAGGGAAAAATGAAGCCAAATGCTTACGAGACTCGGCAAATCTCTGAGGGTTGAATTCCAGTGCATCTTTCCCCCATATCTCGGTGTCATGGTGCACAGCAGCTACTGACACATAAAATTGAGTATTTGCAGGAATTTCAAGGTCTCCCAACTTGATATCTTTAGAAGTTCCTCTTGTCAATGCGACTATCGGTGGGTAGAGTCTCAGTGTCTCATTGAGTATCATTGTCACCTATTCAAACAAACAAAATTAGAGAACAAATATAAGTAAAACTTGCAATTTGTCACCAACGTTAGGAACTACCACTTAAAAAGTGAAATAGCCAATGAGCCTAATACAATCCTAAAAGTCAACTCAGGAGGTGAGGATTATCGAAAGAACATTTACTCCTGCAACTAATGTCGGGACACTCAACACACACAGCATGCTTAAGATTAGACACTCGGAGCATAGACAACATAACATGGAGCCAAACGTTGGATAAATCAATAATAGGGATGAGTGCGACTTTGATACCATGTTAAAAGAAATGAACCTAAAACCCAAGTGAACCCCAAAACCTAGCTCATGAGTTGAGTTGCCAAGACTATATAAAGAGTGAATTGCCAACCCTCAATTAATGTGTTGAGAAACATAACAAATAGATAAGAGAATCGAACTTACAATCTTGAAATCATTCAGATTCTCTGCACTTGGAAGGTTGTTACCCTTACAAACTCGGAAAACTTCTTCTCGAGCTTTATCTTGCCACTCTTGATGCAATGCTAGAAGAAGAAGTGTCCAAGTTAAAAAGACAGAAGTAGTTTCCTTCCCAGCAAAGTAAAATGTCTTGCATTCATTTATGACTTCTTCCATCCCAAATCCGTGTTCTTCTTCACTAGCAGAGATTAGCAAACTAAGAAGACTTTTAGAATTTTCTCTCCCTTTACTACTCTCAATCAGCTTCCTTACTGACTCTCGAGTTTCTTTCTCTAGTCTCCGTCTCATCATGTTATTTTTCGTGGGCAAATACCTGTTAATTTATTAACAGATTTCTTATCCATTAAATTGATGAATACAATCCCGTGAAAAACTAAAAAAGAGTAAAAGCATTCATGCTTAAATACTCATTTCACGATTGCCAAATTAGTTCAACAGCAAAGCTTATATGATGACTTACCTAAATCCAGGAAGGTAGATGCTTCGCATTGCCTGCAAAGTAAGAGATATTTGTTGCTCTTGCAACACAAATATGCGTTTCCCCTCTTCAAAGCTACTCCCAAAAGCTGTTCTAGATATAACCTCAGCTGAGAGATCATTCAATTCTTTGAAGACATCTATTTCAAATTCTTCCTTCTCTTCATTTTCTTTTTCCCATTTCTTCAATGCCTTGATAACACTAGTCACAATATCTGGTACCCAAGCCTGCAATTCATCAAAACTTTAGTAAAAGAAAAAAAGGTTTTGACTTATAAGTATAGGTATAGATACTACTTTATAGTACAGTAATGAGAAGATCAAGTTCTAGTAATACAAATTCGAAATCAATACAAAGTAAAAATAGTATGCTCAATGATGAAGATGGAAGAAAGTATAATGCCATGGAGTGGGCAATACACGAATGTCATGTAAGACAAGTTAACAACTAAATACACATTGAGATTTCATCAAGGAAAGCACATGATAGGTAATTGAGAGATAAAGCTAGCCTATTCTTGAAGGACTTAGTGCTCGGAAAACAAATTTATACATTTATAGTTACCTTAGAAGTTATTGCTTTTTACCACTATTTTTCATATAACAAATTTTGATCGAATACCCAATCTAAGAGAAAAAGAATAAGATTTCTGGCATATTAGCTAAACTTATATAGCATGCCTAAAATACACATAGAATCTTATGGTTATGGGGGGGAGGGGGCAAGAATTTTGAATTTATGTATTCTGGATAAATTATTTATACATCTTAAGTGGATTTTTTAACACAATCCAGCTTCTAGGCTAAAGCTATTAGGTCCTTTCAATCCGTAAATGAAACAGTAGCTCCACCCATACTTGTGATATTTTTTTAAAGAAAAAGATGGCATACGAATTCCAAAAGGTGGTGGGTTGTATCAAAGATTTTAAACAAGACATCTGAAATCAAAGAACACTGACATATACTTGTGTCTTTTCTCAAAGGAAAAAACTATCAATTGGGACTCCAAATGCAGCCAATTTTAACAGAAATCATGAAATGTGACTGAAGTAGACATCACAATGAAATGAATGCATACAAAACACTTTTATAGACTATTGAATATCGGACCACGTTCTATATATGGTATTGCTTAATATGGTTACTGAAATCTCTGGATCGCGATAAGAATGGGAAATGGTGTCTTCAGCTTTTGCAATAATTGTATGGGAGCCTTGGAGGGACTTTCTGAATGATCATACCGAGGAATTGAGTTATGTTTAATAAGACTTACATCTATTATTATATTAAAAAAATCCATATAGGTATAGGGAGATAAAGTTTCCAGATTAAGACATTCCCCCAACATATGAATTTTAAGAAGTCACATACTTTCATAAACCATCATTGGAAGCTAACTAAACTTCGAGTGCTATCATCATTTGGTTTTCCCAATTGTAGTCAAGCTCTCAAGTAGTTCAAAAGTGAGAGGAAAAAGATCTTCATTTCTCATTTCTTAGATGAAGTTCTGGTATCATATTAAGCAAAAAAGTACCTTCCCCTATTAACAAGAGTAGTTCTATTAGCAATGACATCGTGACTTTATCAGCTGCGAAACCTCTCTGGATGATTTCCTTCAAAAGGGTCATTGCTTCATTAGTTTTATTACTCTTGAGAAGTCCATTCACAATATGATTGGAAGTGGCATTGTCCGGCAAACACCCATTGTCCTCCATTTTTCTTAGCAACTCTTTGGCTTCATCTACTAAACCTTCAATACAAAGTCCATTTACTGTTACATTGTATCTTATAACATCAGGATGCAACCCTACGGAATAAAGCTTATCAAAAATAGAACGAGCTTTATCAAGCTTTTGAATTTTAAAAAATCCATCATTGCCTGTATTATAGATCAAAATATAAGTATCTTCTTTTTGTTTTTCCCACCTATGAAAGAGGGACATTGCTTTTTCTACATGTCCATTTTTTAAATAACCATGAAGCATAATGCCACAAATGTAAATGTCAGGACTATGGCCTGCATTTTGCATCTCAGTAAAGAAATTTTCAGAACACTCAACTCTACCAACTTCAAAAAGGCCTTGCGAGATAGTAGAATACGTAACAATGTCAGGTTTCAACCCCTTTTGCGAGATTTCACAATATAAATGCATGGCCTCATCTAATTTCTTCTGCTTGTAATATCCATGGACTAATATATTGTAACTAAAGATGTCAGGCTTGACACCAATATCAATCATAGAATCTAAAACTCTCCTTGCTACGTCTATTTCACTGCGCAAACAATACCCTTCCATTATAGCATTAAAGGTAACCACATCAGGATGTTCACCTTTTTGGACCATTATCTTTAACACTTCCACAGCATCTTCAACCATCCTTTTTTTACAAAATGCATCTACCAACATGCTAAACGTGTGCATGTTCGGGAAAATATTAAGATACATCTTCTCATCCAAAAGCAGCCTAACTTTTTCCCACTGATCAAACTTACAGAAACCATCAACCAGTGAACTATACGTAAGTACATTCGGAGTAATCCCTTTTCGCTTCATTTCATTGAAAAGATTAAAAGCAGCACCTACCATTTGGTCTTTACAAAGTGCATCTACAACAATACTATACACAACTGTGTTAGGTTTGGCATCCCCTTGCTCCATTATCCTCAACAAACTAAGAGCTGTTTGAGAATGCCCTTGTTTACAAAGCCCATTCATGACTGTACCAAACATAACTCCATCTTACAAATTTTCTCTTTCACCAGCTTCCTAAAACCACATAGCATCCTGAATCTTATTTTGTTCAAAAAGTCCCCTCATAAGAGTACTGAAAGTAACCACATTAAACTGAACACCACTCTTGAAAAAAACACCCAATACCGAAAATCCATTTTCAGCACAACCCAGCAAGCAAAAAGAATTAATCACAATAGTCAAGATATAATCATCAAAGGGAATCCCTAACTTCCTCATCTCTCCGAAAAACGAAACAACAACAGAATATTCTTTCATATTAATCATCACCCTTAACAATTTTGCGAACTCTACAACAGAAGGAACTGGTTCTTTACAGATCAATTGATGAAAAACACAAACAGCATCGTTTAAACTATTCACATCTCTGAATTCCCTAAAAATTACAACTTTACGCTTCTTAGAAATCGATGGCTTTTTGCGAAACGAAGGATATTTAGAGGGAATAGAAGCGCAAGAATGAAATATAGCTACATCGCCATGCGATAAAGCAAACAGTTGGATTAAAGGGAAGAAATTACCTCTGTTGCATAGAGGATTTCTCCATGAATGAAAGAGCATGGCTGCTCTGTTTTCTCTAAGGTTAAAAGTAGCTCAAATTAAAGAACTTAAAAATGACGACAAGCTAGAAAATAAAGTGGGTATAATATTTAAAGAAAAATACAAAAATGGTTACAATATAGTTTCTTAAGCACTCTTTAAATTAATATTTTTAATTTTTATCAAATATTTTGTCAAAGAGACCGGTTGGATAATGACTTGTGACTTCTGAGGGTAACTATTTTTAAAAAAAAAAAATGAAACAATTCACATTGAAGATATAATTTTGAGTTTTTTTTTTCTAGTCTAGTGCATTTTTATGATCGTATATTTTAAAATTTAATGAGATTTTTTCGTGTTTATGATTAAATTCTAAGTCAATGGAACTTCTTTGTGGTGATGGTTAAATTTGATGCAATTTTCTTTGTACTTTATGGTCAAATTTTAAAATATAAATGGTTACTAATGTGACTTTAAAGGATTATCTTTGAATCTATCTAAGGAGATATTTTTATCATTTTATGTATAAAATTGAATTGATAGAGTAATTTTAAGAGTATTTGTAAACGTTTTTTAAGATGATATTATATTCTATATTTCCTGACGAATAAGGTGTGAAAGTGAAATATTTGCGGATTATTTCCTTATTTTATGAAGATACAAATGTTTTTTTAATCTTATTTAAGTATAAATGTTATTTTTGAAAGACATTTAGCCTTAGCAAAAGTTTTTTTTAGAGAAATATTGAAAGCACTTCTGAATTTAACACAAATCATTAGTTTTGCTCTCGAATTATTGACAGTTTTAAAAACACCTTTCTATTTAACTAACTAAATTTAGATACACCCTCAATCTGGCACATGACATAGCAATTGGTCTCAAACTCCTATAGATGTCACAAAAGTCAAAACAAGTGTTTAAAACACCCCTAAACTTGACGAGAATTTATGAGTATATTTCACTTATATTGCAAGATCATAGGTGTATTTAAGTTCAGCTAATCAAGTAAATAAATATTTTTTAAGACTATCAATCATTCGGGATAAAACTAATAATTCACACCAAATTTGAGAAGTGTTTTCAATGCTTCAGAGCTTTTTAAAATGCATTTTCAGGTGAAAACTTCATTGACATTTTCTTTTGTAAGACAAAAAAAAAAAAAAAACTTAACAAATGGGCTTTAGTTAAAGTTAATGGATCACCTTAACAATCTCCATGTTAAAAGCCTGGTTTGCAATCCTCCTATGCAAAGCCCATTGTTCACCTCGCAAACCAACAAGTCCTTGTCCAAACAGCTGCTTAGTTTGTGGATCAAATTCAACTTTATCCACTGCTTTATTCATGAAAAGCCCTTTAATCATATCCGGGTCAGAAATAGCCAATCGGGGCTTCATCCCGAACCACCACAAAAAAGTCTTCCCGTAAATGGCGGACCAGTTGTAGTACTGAGGAGCAATTCGGTGCAGCACGTTGTGATTAAACGGAATTGATTTCGATTCAGCTTCACTAATCTGCCGTCTGATTTCCTTTGTGTTTCCGTAGATCAGACGGTAGCCGGGGCCTCTGATTCCTTGCTTCCTGAAGTGTTTTTCGAACTTCCATGGAAGGTAAATCACTGAGTATATGAACTTGAAAATGAAGATCACAGGTAGTAATAGCAAAATCGAAAGAACTGTGAGATACATCGGAGAAGAATCTCAGTTTTCCGGTGGTTCCGGTGGCAGGAAATGAGAAAGAAGCGGCGTTCGACGGCGGCGGAGGAGGAGGTAGAGATTAAGATTGTGATTTGGGGAATCTTCATTGAAGAAATGCATAAATAGTGAGTGATTAATAAACTAAACTAATTTAAAAGTCAGCCGGCAGAAGAGATCAAACAAAAAGGCATAATCAGTAATCATGTCCAACAGGATTTAGGCATATTTCTATTTAATTATTTACTAATCACATTGGCTATTATGGTAGAGGCTGCCAAAATTTATTTATTTTTCTAAGAATTTAAATTGTTCTCTTAATTATTGAACTATCTGAGGAGAAGCAAATTTATGTGTAACATACTTATTGTTCACGTAGATATTCCATGATAAGAAAGATGAGAAGGATGTGTGAACTTATTATAAGAGAGATGATTAGGAACGAAGCTATTTAGGATAAGATAAAATAATTTTTGGATCGGATTATAAATGAAAGAAGTGAGGTAAAGATGATTCGGATATTATACAAGTGAAATGCACAATTAAAGAGGTTTGAGATGTTAAATGTAACATGAGTAAGGAAAGGTAGAGATATATCAAAAAATAAATTACGAAAGGTGATCGCACAATTAAAGAGGTTTGAGATGTTGAATGTAACATGAGTAAGGAAAGGTAGAGATATATCAAAAAATAAATTACGAAAGGTGATCGGATAGCAACATATGATTTAGCTTACTAAAGATATAATTCAAATTAGAAAAATGTAAAGAGTAAAAGGTTAGTAGATAGCTAGAGAGTTATCAACATGAGTTGTGATGTAGTGGTGTGATTGTTTCACCTTAATCTAAGGTTTTGAGTTCAAGCTCTGACTTTGGAAAAAATCATGTTGGGGCGTCACCCTCGAATGAGCCCTACATGCGTGATCTAGATTTAGTTTATGTGGGCTCCGAACACCGGGTGAGAAAAAAATAGTTTGCTATTCTTTTATGCGTATCACTTTCTTCGTTCTTTTTTAATTGTCATAATTTATTTTTTTGAGAGTCAAACAATACAAATTTTGACTAACATTTTAAGATGTATTTTTTATCATATTAATATGAAAAGAAAGTTACAATTATAATATTTTTCGAATATCTAAAATTTTATTTTTTAAAAGTATTTAAAAATTAATAAAATTAACTCTCAAAAATAAAAAACTAACAACTAAAAAGAAACGGAAAAAATACACTTATTGTTTATCTCTTACTATTTGGTTGTCATATTTACTTGTTATCCTATTTTGATAATATTTCTTTGGATCTAAGGAACTATCAAAAAGACAAAAACAAAATCGGAATATATCTTACCTTTCATAAAACCCCATTTTATAAAAGTACTTTGGATATGTTATTAATGTGGTATACCAAGTTATACATACTTATAATTCGATATAAATATGTAAATGTGCAGAAACTTTTGAAATTTTGTATTAGCTGGAATGTCACTATTTAGTCATTGTTATTCATCAATATCACTGAACAATCGATGTCACTGCAGGTGGGCACAGTCAAGAGTGTGCATCATTCAATGTTATGCTCACCTTTCGATCCAAATTAAAATAGAGAAAGACATAATTTATACTCTAACATAAATATTTTTGGACCAAATTATTAACGATAATAATATCTTTTGACCAAACATATTTATTCAATTTCAAATCATTTAAAAACACTTTTGACTCTTTTCCATTTCACAAAACTTGTTGAAATAATAATGAGAAAATTATAGAAATAACAAACATAATTGATATAATAAGGCTTTATAATTATAGTTTCGATAATTGCACTTCATAGCTATAGTTCCATTTGCTATAAAGGTTGCGATTTGTATACTTCTGCCCATTTGTATGCTTCTTTTGCAAATATACAAATATGGTAAGTATATACAAACTTTGTATTTATATATTTAAATTTTTTTCAGAATTTCATTTGTATATTTCGCTTGCAAATATACAAACATGATAATTTATTACGAATTTTTCATAAACCTATACAAATAGCTAGTGTAAGTATATACAAAATTCTGAATTTATACAATCAGGAACTAAATCATACAAATTATGTATTTATACAAATCAGGCGAATAGCAAGAATTGAAGAAATTGTAGCTACGAATTATAATTTTCTTAAACTATAACTATAGTACAGGTTAAATATTTGTTATTCTGCTTAATTTTCCTAATAAACTATGAGTCTGTCATTTTTCATTAATTTCCAACGTGTCCCAACAGTCAACTACTACAGTAGTCTACAAAGGCTTTTAATTAAATTTAAGTTGAAGATTTGACTTGCGGAGTGGGGGTGGGGGTGGGGGAGCCCCTACTGACCGACAGGCATGATCTTCTCTGTTTAGAAATGTTATGGTACTTTCATTATAAATGGCAATGTCTGTTGCCTATTCCCCACATTTCCATTTTTCTGATTCTCCAATGTCTACTCCTTCCCTTAGGCCTTAGCTGTTTGGATGTACATTGTTGGAAGAAGGCATGTGATTAAGTAGGGTCGTTTGATTGCTCGTTAGAGTAATACATGTCATTCTACGTTAGCAATATCTATTGGAAATATTGTCTGAATTAGTTGATTGATGAAATGCAATAATGGAGTGTGTGTTTTTTGTTAGAAAACAAAATAACTCAATATTGTAATATGATTATTATTAGAGTGATTTTTGTGTTACAAGTCAAATTAAGCGACTTTTTGAAATGAAAGATATTATTTAAATGGCCGTGTGAGAAATTAACTCATTAGTAAGATGAGAATAAATTTACCTGGAGATTAGTTATATTTTATCCATATAGAATGATACAACATTTTCCTAATAATCTATACATGTACTAGTAATGCGAAAACATAAAATCAGAATTTTATTTTTGATAATATTATGTTATTTGGAAAAGAGACAAAAACAATCAAATATATGTTAGATTTTATGTGAGATTATGTTTTCTCATTTTTATAATCAAATAATATAAAATGTTATGCTAGTTTTAGACTTACTTTAAACAAAAATTCTTTCTTTATTTTAAATTTTATGGCAGATCAAATGAAAAATAACAACATACTCAATGTCAAGTCAAATAATAATAATAATATATAAATTGTAACCAATGGAGTACTAGTTATCAAAAAATGATATTTCTTTTTTTTTTTTTTTAGTTTTCCACTTGGTGTACGGTTTTGTAGAAAAGGTACCCTATGAATTTCTTGTCACAAAGGGAAAAGGACCTAAAGAAACTTTGCATCTAATGTTGTCCTTGAACAAGTGTTCACAACATCATCAATTCACACTAGACTTTGCTTACTACTTATGGAGATGAAAATGTGATATTCAAAGGAAGACAAAAAGAATGGACAAAGAAAGTAGGTGGAAAATTAAAGAATTTTCCCAAGTGAGAAATATCCACATTCTGAACTTAGTTATTCTCTCACATAATAATTACTACAAAATAATACTAGATCCATCTACTATATTCTCCTAATTAACTGCATGACCTCCTAATATGATTTCCAAAATAAACTAAAATCTTATAATGAAGTTTGGTTGAGAGACCAAAAGGCAAACGCAATATCAAGATTATGAACATAACTTAACTATCCCTATCAACTATTGCATATGTATAAAATATCAAACAAAAAACTAAACTCCAATCCAAAACCTTTGAGAGGGATGTGAATAGAGCTTAATTGCAAGGCGGGTTACGCATTCCACTGTGTCGAGATGTGAAATGCAGGTAGGTGGTGATGAGCGCAGAGCAAGCCCTTGACAGGCATTGCATTAATGCAACTAAACTCCAGCTAGAGCATAGCAGGTTTTCTATCAGAAGGGTCATCCCAAGGCTCAGCTACAACACCAAATCCATCTTCCATTGAGCTTAAAAACGCTGAAAATCCGTTCGATGGAGTTACACTTGCACCATTTCCTAAACCAAGAAAATCAAGAGTCGGAGGCTTGCTTCCGAACATCATAGATGTCTGATGAGATATGGATGGACCCATCCTAAAGTCAGTAAATCCTGAATGACCATGAAGCTGTATCCCGAGCCCGGGTACCTCTGCATTAATATTGCTCTCCAGCTTCACATGGCCGAGAGCATTAGTCCTCCTTGCTAGTGAATTCTCCTCCGGTGTAGAAGCACTCGATGAGATTGCCAATCCAAGGCCACGGAGAAACGAGTTGTTTGAGGTTGTAGACCCCATTTGGGCTGCTTTTTGAAGTAATGCAGTTGCAGATAATGCTGGCTGCATTGTTGCTGAACCATAATGCTGGCCATGGCCACCAGTGTGTTCTTGGAATAAACTTGGTCCATTATTAGACAAGTAAAGAGAAGACGACAATGAGAGTGACATCGGCTCTACAGCCATCACTTGCTCGGTCTCAATAGCACGTAGAATATCCGAGTAAGACGAGTTTACATGCTGAGCTGATGACGACGATGGAAACACACTAGCAAACACCTTGCTACTACTAGGACCACTAGCAGCAGCAGTGGAAATTGTGATGACAGGGGTGGTAGAAACATGTGTTGTTGTACCTTGTGCTTGTTGCAATTGTACTCCACCTTGATTTTGATTTTCTACAGGCAATTCTGTCACACAAAAAATGAACAAAAGAAAGAAAAAAAGAGAGTTTTATTTATAATTCAATTCAATTGAATCAAGAAAAAGATGCAATCTTTTTCAAAAATGGAATAAACTTTTGTAACTTCTGAATCCACAATCCAATATATGCATCCCACTTTAACCAGAGACCTTTCACATTATAAGGAAGAAGCAATCGTGATATCTCTTTTTAAATCCTTTTTCGATTTTTGAGCACGTACTAACATTATTTTTAAAAAAAAATAATTACACCATTTTACTATTCATCTCTTCCCTCGTGGTCAAAACTATATATTAAATGAATAGTAATAAATTAATGGTGAAAATCACACAACAAGACGAAGCTTCAGAAAAAACAAAGAACACTAATAGACAAATCCAAAAAAAAATAAAAATTTATATATTAAAAAAAGAACATCACATGAAAAAACCCACTCTGAAGAATCCAAATTTCCATTCAAACGAGAGAAGTGTTTTCGTAGACATACT